ACATGCATAAAACGTCAAATTGTCAACTCAATGTCAAAAAAATGCGAATTTCGCAGTTATGAGTACTAGGTTTATGAATACCGGGCTTAAACTCTTGTAAGGAATACAACAATTGCCATAACACAAACGAACACTCCAAAGCAAAAAGTGCTGCTCCGAACAACACAAACAAAAATAAATCTACGTACAAACTGAACGCCTCCCCGCCCCAGCACTAGTCATTTGCTGTGACAGCATTGACAGCATAAACAAAACAAAAACTTTCATCGTACGTATAACCTTACAAAAGTAATAATTTTCAAAAAATTTCCACATTTCCAGTATTTTGCTTGGTTATTCTCTGGAAATTTTGTGCTAATATAATTCAAAATAACAGGTAATCAATTCACATTTAATAGCCATATTCATTACATATTTGTGCGCCTTCTTTCATCAAAGTAGGTATGTTTTAATGCGGGTTGCTAGGTCGTATATTTTAGAATCATGTAAATCTCTACAATACCTGATAAGGGCCACACAGTGATTTTATGTCCATAATATTCTATTTCAAGTCTTTAAAGTAATTACTAATTCCTCGACTAATTCTAATTACTCTACTCTGTGTATCAATGTTCCTTCTGTATGTGCAGTGCACTGTGTGACAAGCTGACCACTGCAATATATCCTTTGATATCAATTTCATTATCACTAAAATCTTGTGTTACATGAACTTTTTTTTCTGAAACATTCTTTATTCATTTTAATACAATATTTTATCCATAACATAACAGTTTCTCTAATCAGTGCTGGAAGCTCTGGCCTCGAGAATTAAATACTTTAACAGTGTTTTTACTATGTACTTAACATTCTTAAATTCTAGGTTAATCAATAAAGTGATAAACTAATTTACCTTAATATAATTGTTATACCCCTACATAACTACCTTTATATTGTTAATATCTTATATTATTAAGTCTATATTTAATCATTCTTGTATTTTTCCATATCCTGTTTCGAAATCTATTACTTAATTATTGTAATTTGCGTCATTCAACTATTGATAACGATAATAATCTTGGTCAAACATCTGCTATCTTTACGAAATCTTATCAGGTCCAGGAGGCTAGCGCGTGATCAGTTTTAACGCATTTTCCTTTGTTCCTAATGACGCAGGTTGACAATATAAATTGCTTCTTTTGCATTCAGAAGCGTTCACTCTTGACTCAACAATATAACTAATCACTATTGAGACTTAAATCCAAGATTAAAGTACTGTCCATTTGATATTCATTATTTTTCACCTATTTTTTGTAACTCAGTTTAATTAATTCGAATAAATAAAATCCTAAGTTATTTCAAAGTATTTTTACTTGAAAAGAATACAGTGTATTCCGAGGGTCCCAACATAATATTTGCAATTTTCGAATTAATAATGACCACCAAATTAATAATATACCTAATGATTTCACACTTATGATTATGATTAAAGCTTTAGTAATCATTTTAGATTGCTTAGGAACATATTATAATTGTTATCCAATCTTATATTTACCGGCAAGGAATTATAGGATTTTGAAGAACATTTTATTTTATTTATTTATTAAATTCACGGGATCACCCCATTACAGCATAATAATAACAATAAATATAATATAATCATTAATATTTCCTTAAATTCTAAAAGGTGTACATTATAGAAAACTCATTACAAACAAATCTACAGTTTACTATATATGATAGTTTTAAATTGACTTAAACTTAAATTTAAAGGATCTACATTAGTGTTTATTTAAAAACCTAAGGGCCCTATCGAAAGGATTATTACAGCCATAATTAGTAGAATGAAATGCTGTGGAATATTGAAACTGACTCTGCTTATAAGTTCAGGACAATCAATAATGTTATTCAATAGTTTAAAAATAAATAAGGAGTCAAATTGAATTCGTCTATTTTAAAGTGTTGTTAATTTCAATCTATCCAAGATTACTTTTTTATCAATGTCTGCAGCTGGGATTCCCATTCTATAACCAGAATATTTAAGAAACTTATTCTGCACCCTTTCAATTGAATCAATGTATGTCTCATACATAGCAGACCAGATCAGTGTTCCATATTCAAGTTGGGAGCGGACAAGAGAACAATACACAACTTTTACCACATCAATTGGGAAATCACTACAATTTCTCAATGTAAAACCAAGAAGTTTGAGAATTATATGTGAAATGTGATCATTAAAGCTAACACTTTCATTAAAAGTGACACCAAGGTCTCTAACTTGATTCTTGTAATTTAAGTTCACATTAAGCATTCATGATGTAATTTGAATGATATTTCTTATTACCTGTAAAAAAGCTAATATAAAAACATTTATCTATGTTTAATGAAAGGTTATTGGTCTGACTCCAATTCCAGAGTGTATTAATATCTTTTTGTAATATTTCTATGTCGGCGAGACTCCTTACACATCTATATAATTTAAGGTCATCTGCAAAGAGTAAGACTAATGATTCTAGGTTATCACAAATATCATTTATAAAAAGATTAAAGAGCAAAGGTGAACAGTGGCCCCCTTGAGGTACACCTGATAAAACCTCAATTTTTTTTGACAGAAAATTAAACAGTTTTACTCTTTGTTTCCGATCCTTAAGAAAGCTTGATATACAATCCATGGCTTGCTTGGTAAATCCTACATTGCCCAACTTCACAATCAGAAGGTCAAAATTGACTCTGTTAAAAGCCTTGGAGAAGTCAGTGTAGACTGAGTCCACTTGTTCTTTCCTCTCCAATGCCTCTAACAGGTACATTTCATAGACTACCAAATTAGTTATTGTGGACTTCCCAGCCACAAACCCATGTTGTTCTGCAGATAATAACTCTTTGCATTGCCAGTTTAGTTGATTATAGACCAACTTATCAAATAATTTTGGTATAGCTGACTGTATAGAAATACCACGATAATTTTTTACATTTTCTTTGTCACCTGATTTGTGAATAGGTGTTACATAACTTTCTTTCCATCTGATTGGAAAAATGCTTGTTAGCAGAGACAAATTGAACAAAATATGTAAGGGTTTCGAAATTGTAAAAGAAGATTTCAAAAAGTAGTTTGGTATATTATCTGGCCCTGTAGAAAACATTGTATTGGACCCCGTATTGGACTAAATAGCTGTAGGTTTGTGCGATTAAAATTTATATGTATATCATTGATTCTGTTAGACATACTATTGCCGGCTTTTTCTGATGTAAAAACCGTTTGAGTTCTGTTTTTCGTTTTTTAAAACTTGGATGTTTAAGTCAAATCAAATCAAAATCAAATATATTACGGAATTATTTTGAATTCACATTGTTTCACAAAGAGTCCTTATTGCTAATATATTGTCTTACAATTTGTAATTTAAGCACCTAGGCGATCACATCCCCTGTATGTGCTATAATCATTCATTTGTTTAAAAGTCCTATATTAGGTAAAGTTTTTTCTTAAAGAAATATATGCAGTGTAAGGCAGATAAGAATAATTTCAATAACAATAAAGTTGTCCCTCATTTTTTATTTTAAAAGATGAACAAACTTCTCATTTTTCTTAAATATAAAACATCTACAATTTTTGATAAATTTTTTCAGACTTGGTGTATTTCTCAATTCTGAAGGTAGTAATTAAGTTATAAAATTTTGGGCCCAGATAGGTAATTTGAGAAACTCAAGTTGATTGTTGACTTACTTTGAGGTATCTGGAGGTTCATTTGAATATTGATGCGAGTTGGGTTTATATTTCCTAAAATTATCCTGTTTGTATACAAAAATACATGTTTCTAAAATGTATAAGGATCTTACATTGAAAATCTGATGATTATATAATTGGCGTGTTGGATATAGTTTACTCTTTTTGTATATAATTTTGAGGATATAATTTTGTGCAACATTGAGTTGTTCCAGAATGTTGTTATACAGACCTGTACAAAATTATTTCTGATTGTTATATTTTGTTTTTATTGCCATATATTTCTGGATAATCTATTTTTTCTACTACCATGCGTAAAGTACTCACTTTACGCGCTATTCAGAAAGACGTAAAATCTCTCTTCACACACTAGTGCATAAAGTAATGTCAATGACAGATGTCGACCTGACAAATAACTATTTTACTGGTAAATTACTTGACGCACTAGTGTGTAAAGTGTAGGGTTGGAAAAATTTCACTTTTCACTTCATCTGGAAATTTCAATCTGAAATTTTCATGGAAATTTTTCTTGTGCATATTCAACTAGAAATTTACCTCGTAATTTTCAAAAATTGTGGAATTATCCCTGGTGAGCGAGATATTTCCGGGTGCAATTTCCAATGCGACGATGCCGCGCGGCGTCTGTCGGAAACCCCAGCTTTAGGTTGTCATTTTTGGCATCGAGACCAGCTTTTCCATTTAAAATGCATTGATATCAGAAATCTGTCAAAGTGTATATTTTTTGACAAACGCAATTTAAATAGGAAAGATCAATAACAATCACCATGTATGCACGAATTGGCTTCAGACAAAATTTTCAAAAATTTCTGGAAATATTTTTTGATGCACTAATTATATTACTACTGGAAATATTGAAATTTTTGAAATTTCCGTGAAATTTCCAGAATTTCTGAATTTTTCTGAAAATTTCCAAAATATGAAATTTTCAAAATCAAATGATTCACTATGAAATTTTAAATAATATTTCATGAACTTCCATGAAATTTGCTATAAAATTCAATTATGATGTAACATGATCACTACATGACTTTGAGTATTAGCTGGGGGGCTTTATTTGGAATTGATGCAACTTTGGGTACACGTAAATGACGTTCTCGAATACACTTTGACAGATTTCTGTCATCAATACGTTTTAAATGGAAAAGCTAATCTCAATGCCAAAAATGACAATTCTGGAAATTGCACCCGGAAATTTCCCTTGTGCAAATTACACTGGAAATTTTGCATACAAATTGTCAAAATTAACAAGTGGAAATTTTTGGAAATATCCCGGGGAAAATTTCCAGAATTGTCATTTTTGACATTGATACCCGCTCTCCAATTTAAAAAGCATTGATGTCAGAAATCTGTCAAAGTGTATATTTTTGACAAACGCAATTTAAATGGGAAAGATTAATAACAATAAGCAACAATAAAAAAATTTGACACAACGTAGTAAATAAACTTTAAACTCAGGAAATTTCCAGTAGTAATATAACTACACCATTTAAACCTCAATTTCGGAAAAAGTAACTTTTATTTAGGAAAATGTAAAGTCATTTTCGGAAAAAGTCAAATCAATTTCAGAATAAGTAAAGTTAATTTCGGCAAAAGTAAATTCAAATTCGGAAAAAGTAAATTCAAATTCGGAAAAAGAGAATTCAAATTCGGAAAAAGTA